CATGAAAAGAAAATAAACCAGTATCTCTCATAAATGTATATTAAACAGTCTCAATAACATACTAGCAAACTGAATCCAGCAGCATATACTATATAGCATGATCAAGTGTGTGTTATGCCAGGAATGCACGGCTGGTTTAACACCCAAAATTTATATATCCTATCATTAGAATAAAGGACCAAAAGATAGCATCATCTCAACAGGCAGCAAAAAAAGCATTTGAAAAAATTTCCAACACCCATTCATGATAAAAACACTAAACAAAGTAGGAAAATAGGATACTTCCTCAGTCAGATCATGGGAATTTATGAAAATTCCAGAGCCTATATCAAAGTTCACTGGGAAATACTGAATGCTTCCCCCCTAAGATTAAAGAACCAAACAAGGATGACTGCTCTCATCACTTCTATTCAATACTTTTCTGAAAATAAGTTAGGTAAAAATATGAAATAAATAATAACCAGATGGAAAATAAAACTGAAACTGCACATTCGTTAACATGATCTTCTAAATAGAATTCCTAAGGACCTTACTTTTATTTTTTTTTTAATTTTTTTTAAAGATTTTATTCATTTATTTATAGAAGCACTGGCTACAGTCAGAAGTACGGGAGGGTGAGAGTATTCACCAGAGCCAGAGCCGGGAACAGAACAGGCAGAGCGACAAAATACACCGCTGAGGGGAGCAGCGGGCGGCAGGAGAGGTCTGTCGAGCCATGTGGGACCCTCACCAGCGGCCGAACCGCTGCACTGCAGAGGCTGTGGGCAGCTTCGCAGCCCAGCGCTCACCCACTGCACCACCAGGGGAGGTCCAGGACCTTACTTTAAAAAAAAAACTATCAGAGCTAATAAAAAAGTTGAGCAAAATTGTAGAACACACTCATGACACAAAAATCAACTACATGTCTATATACTTGGAAATAATTAAAATGGAAATAATTAAAATGGAAATAATGACACATGTAATAGCACCAGAAAGAATACTAAAATATTTAGGATGAAAAAAGGTATAAGCCTATACTCAGAAAACTACAAAACATTGTTGAAAGAAATTAAAGTGACCTAAATAGGTGGAATTTCAAGTATTATATGCATGTTCTTGGACAGGACTTGAAAATGTTGAGATAATAATACTTCCTAAATTGATCTACAGATACAACACAATCCCTATCAAAATCCCAGCAGGATACAATCTTGCACTAGGACTGTCTTCCCATCATAAACCATTCTCTATCAATCTTCAGAAAGATAATAAGGGCCTGAAGAATGGCACACGAGACAATTCGTGACTCGATAAGAGGCCTGACTCCCATTTTGCTCTCTCCTGCCTTGCGCATTACACACTGGAGTACATTACTCGGCTTGTTGACTCTGGCCTCCTCCCCGGGAAGCAGCTGCACTAATCTCCATCAGTATATATGAATTGTTCTCCTGGGTAAAGTCTGACTTTGAAACTGCTCTAGATCAGTCGTTACTTCTCAAAGAAAGCAGGAGACTTCCTCAACAAAGAATAGGATGCCCTATTATTTTAAGACAATCCAACAATAACCAATAAGCCAACTAGATAACCTGCAAACCCTTCCCAGAAGCATCTAAAATCCTAGAATAAATAAAACAAAAATCCTTTAAATGAATAGCTTGATTTACAAGAAACTACAAGTAATCCCCAGGGATCAAAAACAAAGAGGAAGCTAAACACAAGACAGTATCCACTCGCCCTGATACCACAACTAATCTTGGAGCATGGAAGTGGGAATCTCAGCCTAGAGGACTAAGTTTTAAATCTCAGACAGAGAAAGGAATCACGTGTAAATTAGAGATTAGAAGGAAAACACCCTACTTAAATAAGGCCAGGTTGTTCAAAGATTATATCCTCTGTGAAAAGGGGGTGGGGAGGAACCAAACCACTAAGCAGGAAGAATACAAATACTTATTATCAGCTGTGGTTCAAAGTAAAGGAAAAGGTCCCTTCTGGAAATGAGAAACAGGGGCCTATTCAACAGAGGGAGGGAGGGGGGTAAGGGAGGGGAGGAGAGAGAGAGCAAGAGAACTTTCCTTTTGTTTTCACTGCTATTCTCATAACTCAGCAAACTTTATGCCAAGAAATGAATATAAAAATAGTCTCACATTAGTGACACCCTGAGAGTGTAGAAACAAATATAGCACCCAACCAAGAGGTGGGTCATATCTGCAACTCAGAACCCAATTCAACAACAAAGATACCAAATACACATGAGTAAAACAATCCAAACAACAGAAATAAATACCTGGACACTTGAAATACTATGATGGCATGATAGAATCTTTAAAATAAGTCTGCTCAAACCACATTAAAGAATGACTCAAATACATAAGAAAAAAGACAAAATGAAAAAGAGGCAGATAGAAAAGGGAGAAGTAGATGGACAGACAGCAAAGACAACAGATGCAATTAATGACTAAGTCAGGCAATTTTCATCAGTGGATGCAAAAATGTTAGATGAGAAGTTGTTGGGGGATGAAATATTCAAACGGATTCAGATTCACCCCTTTAAAAAAGAGGAGAGAAATGCGCCACTACAATGGAGAGATCTAGATCTAGTAAAAGTCACCTCAGCCAAGTAATCAAACCTGGCATGACCATAAAACAAACCAAACTGCAAACCTTTTGATGTGGTACGTTAAGAAGTCACTGGGCCTCCCTGGTGGCGCAAGGGGTTAAGCACTGCACTATGAAACAATCCGCAGCCTCTGCGCAGCCTCTGCGGCAGGAGTTCGATCCCTGGCGGGCCAGGGAGATTCCCACATGGCGAGGCAGACCTCTCATGTCTCGCCCACTGCTCCCCTCAGGAGTGTACTTTGGTCAATATGTCCGTTCTGTTCCCCACTCTGTCTCTGGTGAATCCTTTCACCCCCAACACCTCTGACCTAGACTCCAGTTCTTGTATGTATAAATAAAATAAATCTTAAAAAAAAAAAGAGATCGGTCACATTAAGAGGAAGTGTTGACTGACAAGCATTATCTCCACTATGGGGCTTAGCAAATCTTATTCTAAATTATGTCCTGTAGTTGCTGGTATAATCACTACTACTTGCAACCAAAGGCAGGTAGAAATCTTTAAAATATAAAATCACCACCTCTGCCTTATGAATGGTGTGAATGAAAAAAACAAAACTTAGAGCAACTCTTTTGAAACTTTCATTTTCAAAGTTTGGAAAGTGCCTGTCTACTTCTGAATCAGAATAAAAAGCTAGAAATATAAGAATGGGGGAGCCTCCCTGGTGGCGCAAGGGGTTAAGCACCGCACTATAAGGCAATTCTCAGCCACTGCAGCACAAGTTCGATAACCGGACAGACAGACACCTACATGGCACAGCAGACCTCTCCGGTCTCTCCTGCTGCTCCCCTCTGCAGTGTATTTCAGTGGATCTGCCTGCTCTTCTCCCCACTCTGTCTCTGAATCCTCTCACTCCTCGCATCTTTGGCCTGTAACCCAGCTCTTGTATGCATAAATAAATAAATCTTTAAAAAAAAAAAAAAGAATGGGACAAGTTAGCCATGCTATTTGGGGCCACAACTTACAGAAGAAGATTGTTCTATAATCTGGACATAAATCAAAATGAATATAGAGGAAAAAGTCACGATATAAATTAAGTTCTACCTATTCATCCCAACAGTCATCCCCCTAAGAACACTGCATGAATTAATTATATTTTGACACAGGAAAAAAAAGTGAGCGATTGCTCTTAGCATTTATTTACAAAAACAGTGATTATCTGCAATCCAAACTTTTTTTCAATTTATCCATGAAAATGTCTCATTAAATAATACACCAAGAATCAGCACAAGATGGTAAGTGTGCTTTACACCTGTTGCTAGCTTGATGGTGACTGAACAAAACTTTTTTCTAGAGAAGTCTAGAAAATTGTTACTTTAACCGATTTCTTGGTTGATAAATGTCTTACCAAGAAATAGGTTAAAGTAACAATTTTCTCATTAGTTTGTGAATATCTTGGGAGGAATATAAACTATTACTGAAATAATCACAGTTAAAACTAATTATTAGTAAAGAAGTTAGAAACCTATAATCAAAATAATCGAGCAGCATATATATAAAACAAGTTTAACCCTTGTATTAATTGCTTTTAAGAGGTAAATCCTGCCAGTGTACTGGTCAAACTCAGTATTCTTAACCTTTATTTTCAGGAAATTAGAGTAGTCTGTAATTGCATCCATTTTTTTTTTAAAGAAAGAGTCACAATAAGGCAAAATGAACAACCAGCTAAAATAAAAAAAAAAATCACAAAAATTGAAAATACTATGCGTTCAATAACTATGATAAATCGGACATTACCAAGAGGCCCCATTATTAAAAGTAGTAGAAAAGAATGAAAAGCAGCAACAATATATTTGCATAATTACTTGTATTTCATTGCATAAAGTTCCAATAATTTACATTATTTTCCCATGAGATTTTTTTCTACCTATTCATAGTTCATTACTGCTAAAAGAAAAAAAGGCCTGCTGTGCTAAAAGTCCCAAATAAGATGATAAAGCATTGGCTGTTCTGTGCTGTACTATCTTCTGTCCATGTCCAGTCAGCATTAGTTAATCTTCACTGATCAAACTTTTCAACTGAATATAGTGAAGGTTCAGGAAGGTGAGACCAGGACAGCATTCCCCCAGGCTGGTGTGCCCTCGTCAGCAGCACTGTCTACACATCTTATTCATCTGAGTCTAGCTTCATGTTTTGCTTAAATCTGGTGATTAGCAAGGGGCCTAGCAAGTATTTATTCTGTTTTAGATTTTTAAAGACTTGGGGGTACAGAGGATTAGAGGTAGCTAACATACACAGTGAGACATGGTGAAGCCCCCACAGTGCTTAATACAAGGAAATAATTAGAGAGATATTTAAATTGTGTGCCCTTTTCAGGCCCCAGAAAATAAATCTGCATCTTTCCCTTTTTTTCTACTTGACCCAAAATCAGGTACTGATTCAAATAAAGCAAAAATATACTCACAGAACTTGCATCAACATCGCTGTGGATGGCAACCGTCTTAATGCCCATTTTCTTGCAAGTTTTAATAACCTATTTTAAAACACATTAATGTTATCTATTAACCATGACTCATATTTAAAAGGATTTAATAATAATAAAATCCACAGAGTAAATGGAAAATAAGATTAAAATTCTACTCACCCTACATGCAATCTCTCCTCTATTAGCAACAAGAATTTTATCAAATGTCTGAAGAGAAAAAAAATTGACAATGTTACTCTCATTTGAGACCAGAAAATATCAAGTTTTTCCACATTTACCACTGAACATAATACCAACACAAGCATAATTTCCTAGAATGGTATCAAGTACAAGGACAGATGCTCACTGGCAGTAGGGTCTGTCTCTTGATTATTCTGTTAAAGCATCAGCTGACTAGCTCCAGTAATTCACAGTAAAGGGCTAAAAGGATATTATTAATTCTCTTGCCAAAAGATAATCTTCAAATAATATTTCAGAATACTAAAGTACTTTAGACAAAATTGCTTAACAACTTACTTCATCATTTATTTTCTAAATTCAAGATAATTTTAAGCGTCGAGTTGTTTCTCAAAGGAAAGTTGGACATAAGTACAATTTATTTATACAACCCCTCTGTTGGGATGAGGTACAGCATGAGATGATAGTTTCCATAACTCAGAAGAGATATCAATTATGCTTATATCCAAATATTCCCAGGCCAAGCTTGCCATGTTATTTGAAAATAAGGTTAAATCTGAATAGCCATCAAATGTTAAAGCAGCTGAGGCTGTATAAAAAAGGAGTAGTTTCATTTTCTGTGGGGCTGGGGTCCTACATTCAATACTAATAACCTACTAGACCTTAGGCATCAATCTCTATCAGTCTTGATTTTGACATTTATAAGCCTATAGCATTCTAGTGAGAACCTATTTAATAAGGTTCTCAACCTACTCTTCACATTGTACAGGCTAACCCATTTAAAGAAACATGTAATTGAAAGTAATTTGAATGCAATACATTTCCATACACAATTATTTCTAGGTCAGTGAATTGTTATAAATGGAACTATAAAAAAGTTCTAGTTCTGTTTCTAAAAGAAAAGTTAAAGTTATGTAACTGAAAGCAATATTTTTAACTCAACAGGGAGTCACAGAATCTCAGAATTGGAAAAAGGCTTCAAAGTTGTGGTTTAACCTTTATATCACACATGGCTTATTCCATCAACATGAGACGATGGAATAAAAGTTGGTTGCCTCCTAATTTGATAGACTCCTGAATCATTCAGCCTGGAACAGATGGGCCCTTAAAATACCCAATCTCACCTCAGGCCTGAGAGTATAAGATCACCTGTCTTTCTATACCTAAATGGTCACAGTAAACCTCTGTTAAAGAGTAAGCTCAGAAGAAAACAAATGCTTATACTTCCTTGAACTGTACCTTAAACTGTGAATTTGTATTAAGTATCAAACAGACTCTGATAAAAGTAGTACAAGCACTGAAGTTACACATTAAGCGATTGCTGACTACCAATATCACAAATCATGAGAACATCATCAAGATTAAGTAAGAACACTAACCTAATTTCTAGCCAAGAGGCAGAATAATAATTAAGATCCAGCTCCAGCTCTCAAACTGCCCAAGCTGGAATTCTCTCCCACGTGTCTTCTGCACCCTTCCCAGCCCTCACTTCCTGCTATAAAAATGAGAATACTACCTGCCAACAGGCGGTGAGACTATGAACGAACACCCTCGATGTCTAGCGCGGTGCCTAGCTCGCACAGAAACTCAACAGGTGTCAGCCATCGCGTATACTCACCCCTCTGCTCACACGCCAGGAGGCTGCACACCTACAAGTGTGATTACCTGTCCGAGGGAAAATACTGAGTGGTAAAGTAGACTACCCACCCCCACCCCAGTGTGAGGACATCCGATCCCCCGAGCACCTGAATCAAGGGCAGGGGAAGGAGGTTCATCTTCCTGCTGAGTGGGCCAGGACGTGTTCTCCCCCTAGACCAACAGCTTCCTGGTCTCAGGCCTTTGGACCCAGACGGAAACTATACCCCCAGCCTCCTGGGTCTCTAGCTTGCAGAGAGCCAACAGTGGGACTTCTCAACCTCCAAGAGGAATGAGCCAATAAATCTCCACCTATCCATCCAACTTGTTTCTCTGAAGAACCCTATCTGTACAGGACTGTTCATGTATTACCAACTGGTGTATGAGCTCAATAAAGCTAATCGTGTCAATCTTCCATACATCAATCAGATCTTCTTTTGAATAAATGACAGATTATGTTGTTCAGCACTTTAAAGGTACAAAAGGGGAGACACTGTAGTGACACCCAGGACCTTCCCCCAAAGGCACCCAAGACCACCAGTTTCTGGTCTATTTGTCCAGAGAAGCTATGCAGGAGAGAACGAGGTACACTGAGATGAGCTATAAGCTCCCCCTCTGCACCATCAATTGCAACAACAGGCCACTGATAACTTCAAAGTACCAGATGACACCATCACAGTAAAAGGGGGGAGTGTGACAAGCCAGTGATGTCAGAGAGGCCGCATTAAATGCAGAGGATAGCACTGGAGAAGTGCAAGTGATTTTTAGGGCAGCTCAAGCAAAAATCACTGTGGGGGAGCTGTAGCAAACACAGCTAGAGGGCATAAGGCCAGATAATGAAAGGACTTCCACGCCTTTTAAGGAACAAGAACTTTGCCCTGTTAAGTGGAGAGCCATGTAAGTCACTCTTAAGATTATTTTGGGGGAGGGAGGGAGAGGAGGGCCAATGGCTTAAATAAAGAACCTGAAGGAAGAGGGGCTCTCAGATACCATGAGAGAGAACGATGTTATCAGATTAAACAACCTACTGGAAGTTTCCTGAGAGTTTTTCCAGTTGTTTGCTTTTAATCCCGTCTCTGTCCTGGCCTTCCTTCTTCCCCAGGTTCAGATCCTCATAGCTGGGGCCTAAACCACTAAGACGACACTTTATTCAGAGACCAAGGGAAGCGCCATGCTGGCCTGTCCCCCTGGTGCTTGGGGACAAGGGGCCACCCCCCAGATTATTCTGCAAAGGGGTGAAAGCTTAGTGGGTAAACTCACAAGCGGGACAGACTGGAGTCTGCACCCAGTTCTCTCTTACCACCTGGGGGCAGAGCTTCAGCTTCCAGATTTGCAACACTGAGGCCTTCGGGATGACATTGACAATGAGGCTCGATGGACATGTCTCCTACAGGCCGGGTCCTGAGACATTCCCTTCCGTGCAGGCCCCATTCAGTCCTCCTAATCATCCTGTAGGGCCAGTTCTGATAATATTCCCTCCTTACAAGAGAACCAAGACTTGATGAGGCCAAATCACCTGCCTGATTCACTTACAAAGTTAAGTAGCAGTAAAGCCAGGATTTACATCCAGGTATTCGTGTCAGAGCACCCCATGGAACATGACCAGAATGGAATGGGGCAGGCTTCAAGCACTGAAGCATTAATGCCACCTAACAGCACAGTTTGCAGGCGCACCATAGTACCGCACCAGCTCCCGCTAACTTAGGACCTACTGAAATCTCCCCATCTTTTTCTTTTTTTTTAATTTTTTTTTCTAAACTCTCTCACAAAGTACTTTTTTAAAAAAAAATTTTTAAAGGTTTATTTGTTTATTTATACAAGCCCTGGGTACAGTCAGAAGCGCGGGAGGGTGAGAGAATTCACCAGAGCCAGAGCGGGGAGCAGAGCAGGCAGAAGGACCAAAGTACACTGCTGAGGGGAGCAGCGGGTGGCAGAAGAGGTCTGCGCGCCATGTGGGACCCTCCTCCGGTGGCCGGGGAGCAGGCGGGGATCCAACTGGCACCGCAGAGGCTGCGGGCAGCTTCGCAACCCAGCGCTCAACCACTACGCCACTGTGAAATCTCCCGTCTTTTTCTAAGCAAATTGCCATAAAGTTAATTGAACTCCATCCTCATAAACAGACATGGACTTGTTAAAACTCAAATGGAAAAATACTATTTTTCAAAATGATTAAATGTCACCTGGTTTAATTTTTTTTTAAGATTTATTTATTTATGCATACAAGAGCTGGGGTACAGGCCAGAGGTGTGGGGGGTGAGAGGATTCACCAGAGACAGAGTGGGGAGCAGAATAGGCAGCTGACTGAAAAACACTGCTGAGGGGAGCAGCGGGGTGAGTCAGGAGAGGTCTGCTGCGCCATGTGGGTTGCTCCCTGACCGGGGATAGAACTCATGCTGCAGTGGCTGTGGATACCTGGTTTAATTTTGACTTGATGGAGTCACTGTAGAGGCAAGTTCAGATAAGAATCCATGTAACGAATGGCTACAAGATAGCAAAGATCCCTGAAAGCAGAATTTCAAGTCCAACAAAGTGAAGGGCAAGTCTCCCAAGTGGTGTAAACACCTGCAAAACCCACAGGTGTCAAGAGTATCCCTTGATGTATCAGGAGGCTACATTTCTCCACATTCACCTTAGGCAAAGGCACAAGGCAGCAGATGTCAGACATTTACTACAAAGCATGCACCAGCTTAGCGCCTGCCAAGGGCAGGGGTCCCCCTTAACTGTCCTAAAACAAGAGTATTATGCACACTGAATTGTCTGTTTGTAGTAATTATCAATGGTAGCTAAGGTGACAGGAGAGCTGGCAATTCCTACAACCTTAGCTATGAGGTATAATAAAATCAAGCCTACAAGCAAACTGTCACATATAGAAACATATCTCACACACATAAAAGCAACCTTAAAACCTGCTTGAAAAGACAGAAAGCTTTAGCATCTTGTACTTTGTAATGCTCCAGAAGCATGCATGCAACTTTCACCTAAAGCAAGTGGATCAGGGCCTCCCTGGTGCCACAAAGGGTTAAGACGCAACCTGTGAGGCTGTCTGCAGTCACTGCAGCACGAGTTCGATCCCCAGCCAGAGAGCTAACCCACATGGTACAGCAGACCTCTCCTGTCTCCTCACTGCTCCCCTCAGCAGTGTGTTTCAGTCAGTCTGCCTGTTCTGCTCCCCACTCTGTCTCTGGTGAATTCTCTCACCCCTCCACACCTCTGGCCTGTACCCCGGCTCTTGTATGCATAAATCTTTAAAAACAATAAAAAAAAATAAAGCAAGTGGATCAATATTCTGATTTGGCTAATATTATCGGACTTAAATTGCAGACTTTCAGAACAGGAAGTTTATCACAGCTAATGCATCTGGACCTGGGCCACCCGACAAACAACAGCCATATGAGGTTACTAAGCACTTCAGATGTGGAATCAAATTGAGATGTGCCAAGTGTCTATGAGAGATCTGATTTAGAAGGCTTGGCACGAAAAAAGCATCTCACTGATACTTAATAGTGATTATATGATGAAATAACATTTTAGATATTGAATTTAAAGAGTATTAAAATTTCACCCTTTTTTATGTGAATAGGAAATTTTTTTATTGCATATGCCCTGCATCACCTCTATTGAATTGCACAATGTAAACCATTTCTTTCTCCAAACTTCCAGGTTCTTTTGAATAGTACTGTATCTTCAGCATGTGATGTAAGCCATCTCAACTATTTCACTCTCAAATAAGCCTGTCCATTCTACTTTCACAACATTCATCTTGAACGACCTTAACCAAAACTCTCCTAGAACAAATGTTCGCTAACCACCTTAGTGCTCCTAATTAGGATGGCTGATGATGTCTAGATTGGAACTCAACACGCGGCGTCCTGTGATGTGTTCACTGTCACTAAATCAGGTTTCAGCTCTGATCGCTACCTGTCATCCCGTTAGCTCAAGGTATGAACTCTATCCTATATCAGAATGTTATTTATTTGGAGTTCCCTGGTCCTAATATCTACAATGCAATGAATTGCCTTTAATCAAAGTGAATTATATAAATATTAAATGAAAGTCAATAGTTTAATTTCTCAACTGCTCAGACTTAAAGAACAAATGTTACATTGGTGATTCTGATAAAAACAAAGGAAACACATTGTAAATTTATTTCCTTTTTAGTATAGATACAAAGGAAGAGACTAAAGTTATGGCCCACAACTGAAAGGGGAATAATGACTGAGCACCTACAAAATCTATGATGTTGGAGCAATAATTGCACAGCATTAATAAAATGTAATAAGCCCACTGAACACAGTGGGGAGACAGAAAGTAAAACCAGTTTAACTAGCTATCGAAAGTACTTTTTGGGACTCCCTGATGGTGCAAGGAGTTAAGACGCAACCTATGAAGCTATCTGCAGCCACTGCAGCACGAGTTGGATCCCCGGCCAAGGAGCAACCCACATGGCGCAGCAGACCTCTCCTGCCTCGCCCGCTGCTCCCCTCAGCAGTGTATTTCAGTCAGGCTGCCTATTCTGTTCCCCACTCTGTCTCTGGTGAATCCTCTCACCTCTGGCCTGTACCCCAGCTCTTGTATGCATAAATAAATCTTAAAAAAGAAAGAAAGCACTTTTTAAAGACTTACTTTTTCATTAGGATCATATCCTACTGACCCGAGACTTCGAGACACCACTAAGTGCAGTCTTGAGTAGTGTGGAACACGCTGCAAAAAAAACAAAAAGTAAAATAAATTACCAAATATTGAATGGGCTTTAAAAATATTTTTTTTCGGGGCCTCCCTGGTAGCCTAGAGGTTAAGTCTTAGCGCTATCACCACAATGGCCTGAGTTTGAACCCCAGCCAAGGAGCTGACATCTCCTGTCTCCCCACTGCTCCCCTCAGCAGTGTATTTCAGTAGATCCACCGGTTCTGCTCCCTACTCGGTCTCTGGTGAATCCTCTCACACCCCACACCTCTGGCCTGCACGCCAGTGCTACACAAAAATAAATAAAATTTTTTAAATACATATTTTTTTTTCAGGGTAATTCTTCCAGCATGCATCTGGCTGGAAGAAATTGTTTTACTGACCAAGACAGCTTTCAAAGCAACATGCCATGACTATGGAAAAGAAATCATAACTGCCACACATGCCCACTGTATACAGGAGAAACCAAAACACCCATCAAAACCAACCAGAAAAGTAACAATAAGTCTCTGGGGTCAAGCAACAATTGAAGAAAGATCTTTCTGATCTACAGACTGGTGTGGTGGGGCCAGAAATGCCACACACCACAGAGGACTTGATACAGCATGAGTGTCTCAGTCTTCAGAGAGCTTCCAGTTTAGCAGTAACCAGAAAATAATATTTATTTATTTGCAGATGTCCTTCTTTTACTTTTTCTTGTACTAAAGTGACTTGGCAGATAGAAGTTAAAAGATAATACTAATAATCAAGTTTGCTTCCAATTCATTATTATGAGTATCTAGGGAGGAGGTGTATGGTAAGGATTTAAAACATTAAGAATCACTAATAGGACCTCCCTGGTGGCACAAGGTGTTAAGTACCATACTGTGAAGCAATCTGCAGCAAGAGTTCGATCCCTGGCCAGCCAAGGAGCAACCCACAAGGCACAGCAGACTTCACCTAACTCACCCGCTGCTCCCCTCAGCAGTGTATTTCAGTCAGTCTGCCTGTTCTGCTCTCCACTCAGTCTCTGGTGAATCCTCTCACCCCCCACATCTCTGCCCTGTACCCCAGCTCTTGTATGTATGCATAAATAAATAAATCTAAAAAAAAAAAGAACCACTAATAAAATTATAGGCAAGGGGCCTCCCTGCTGGCACAGGGGTTAAAGACACAGCACTATCAAGCTTTCTCCAGCCACTGCCTCATGAATCGGATCCCCGGCCAGGGAGGTGACCCACATGGCACAGCAGACCTCTCCTGTCTCGCCTGCTGCTCCCCTCAGCAGTGTATTTCTTTAGATCTTCCTGTTGTGCTCCCCACTCTGTCTCTGGTGAATCCTCTAAGCCCCCACACCTCTGGCCTGCACCCCAGCTCTTATATGCATATACAAATAAATCTTTAGAAAAAAAATTATAGGCAAGGTTTAAGAAAACAATTTACTGGGCCTCCCTGGTGGCACAAGGGGTTAAACACCGCACTGTGAAGCAATCCACAGCCTCTGCAGCATGAGTTTGATCCCCGGCCGGGGAGCAACCCACATAGTGCAGCAGACCTCTCCTGGCTCGCCCGCTGCTCCCCTCAGCAATGTATTTCAGTCAATCCACCTGATCTGTTCCCCACTCTCTGTGGTGAATCCTCTCACTCCTTCCACCTCTGGCCTGCACCCCAGTTCTTGTATGCATAAATAAATCTTTCAAGAAAAAAAAAATTTACCCAGTAGTCACTGAAGTAACAAGAAAGGGGCAGGGGTAACAAAGCAGCAGATACTACTGCTTAGAATTTGCCAAGAGGTTAAGTACTCAAATAAGCAAAATGTGTTACAGCAACATTTTAAAGTGAACTCAAAGATGTACACAAGTATTTTTTACGTATGAAGCCCCGAATAATAAAATGTAACCCTTTTCACAAAAACTAAAGGTAATAAATAAGATATAGTCCCCAATAAAGCCAACACTACTGTAACAGCAGGAAGGG